CCCCCCCCCCCTTTTTTTTTTTTTTTTTTTTTTTGGTTGAACAATGTTTCTGGTTTACTGGCTTGTGTATCGATGATGTAATTATGTTTTAAGAAAAGCGGTAGGATTTGCTCATTTATACTTCTTCCTACTCCTGTTTGAACATGTGGTCATGTTTGAAATAAATAAAACAAGCAAACAAACAAAAAAAACCAAAACAATCAGGCATAACATTATGACCACCGGCAGGGGAAGGGACTAACACTGTCTATCTGTTACAGTGGCACCTGCCAGTGTGTGGGGTATATTAGGCAGCAAATGAACATTCACTCCTCAGAGTTGATGTGTAATGAGCAAGTGTAAGGATGTGAGTGACTTTGACAAGGGCTAGATTGTGATGGTGAGATGACAGAGTCAGAGCATCTCCACACTGCAGGTCTTGGTGGATTTTCTTGGTCTGCAGTGGTTAGTACCTACCAACAGTGTCTAAGGAAGGACAAATGGTGAACTGGAGACAAGGTCATGGATGCCCATGGCTCACTGATGATGAGGTTGACCTACTGTATATTAAACTTTTAACTTCCATTTGTACTTTTCCAAAGATTAAAATTTATTTGAATCTTTGTTAAAGTGGTTGAAAATGAGAAACAGACACTGGTACACTGGTCTCTATGACAAGAAAGAGTCAGGGGCTGTAGTGGTGGTATCACACCTAGAGTGGTGAGGCTGTTGAATTTGTCTAAAAAAATTCTCTCTAACTCATCCTTAAGCCCATAGGTTTCACTCCTTTTACATAGGTTTTTCACTGAATTATAGACACATCTGTGCTCTTCCCTACAGTAGAACTGTGGAAGTAAATGGATTCGCAGAAGATGCACAGTGAGCCGCAGAGTGACACAAGTGCTGACCGACTGCCACATTGACTCCTATGTAAACAGTATTAGGCAGGTGGTCATAATGCTATGCCTGATTGGTGTATACAGTAGCCTATTACATGTCTTCTTCATCATTATCATTACAGCCTAAATACTGTATGTAATGTCTTACAATGCAGATGAAAAATGAATGCAAGTTTCACTGATTACAGCCAGCTTACCTTTGCTGTTAAAGCTATGTGGTTGTAGTCCTTTGGACAAAATCTAAACAAATCCTGCACCCATTTATTGGTGCAATGTCTGTGGGCTTCAAGGGATATATCGTTTTTGAGTTGTTCACAGACAGACACATTTAAACCTTGAATAAAATAGTTCATATAATCCAAGTACGAGGTTGGAGGCAGCAGTGCTGGGTCAGCACTCCAACCTTTTCAAGGTCAAACTGTTTATTTGTCATATGCACAGTTAGGAAACGTGTTTCCCTGTACAATGAAATTCTTACTTCCACATGAATGCCAAACAATACAAATGAAATATAAAGTAGATGAATAAGTAACACAAAATCTAAGGCATGTTAAAGCAGCAAATGCAGAGATATAATAAAAATATATAAGAATATAATAAGAGAATGTATGCTACATGGGAGCTGCATGTGCAGTAGTCAACAGTCAATGTGCAATTATGCATGTGCAAACTGAGAATGTAAACAGTACAGGTCGTCAGTACATGACGTATTTCCTGGTACTAAACTCCTGTCAGCTGTTTAGGAGTCTGATGGCAGAAGGAAAGAGAGTTTTTCAGTCTAGAGGTCCTGCATTACACACTTCTGAACCTCCGGCCAGAGGGTAGGGAGGTGAACATCCATGCTGGGGGTGGGTGGGGTCTTTGAGGATGGGCAGTAGAGTCCTGGTGATCTTGTCCACAGTCTTTACCACTCTCTGCAGGCACTTGCGGTCCATAGCAGTAGTGCTGCCATACCAGACGGTGATGCAGCTGGTCAAGATGCTCTCAATAATGCAGCTGTAGAAGTTGCAAAGGATTGTAGGCGACATGCCAAACCTCCTCAGCTTCGTCAGGAAGTACAGCCGCCGTTGGGCCTCCTTGACCAGCTGTGTGGTGTTAAGTGTCCTGTCGTGGCTAGAGTGTGATACCGACTAAATTAATTCAGACAAACCATCCCAATTTAAAGGATCATTTAATATTACAATTATTCTGGGCAGCACGGTGGCACAGTGGTTAGCGCCGTTGCCTCACAGCGCGAAGGTTCCAGGTTCGGGCCCCACCTGGGACCTTTCTGTGTGGAGTTT